GCCGCGCCCCCCCCCGCCTGCTTCTCTCCGGGCCCCAGGCTGGACATCGGCGGGGGGGGCCCGGGAGGAGGTGGGGGGGCGATTTCTGCCCCCCCCCGGCGCTGCAGCCTCCCCGGGGAGCAGCGCCCCTGTGACCCCCCCCACGTGGTGCCGGGGGAACGGGGCTGTGGCCCCCCCTTTGGGGCGCGGGAGCTGACCCGGGCTCCAGTCACGTGGGTGTCTCGGGGAGGGGGGGCTGCGGGCCACCGGGGCGCGGGAGTGTCACGTGCCCCCTCCCCCCGCCGGGGAGCCGCGCGCCCTCGAGGGGTGGTTCCCGCGGGCGGGGCACGCACAGAACGTGTCCCGCACGCGGGGGGGCGGGGCGGCCTGAGCCCTGCTCCCCGCGCTGCTCGCTGCCTGGGGGCGGGGCCGGGTGCCCGCTGAATCCCCCCTGTGCCCGGGGGGGGATGCTCTGGCCCTGGCTGCCCGCAGTGCCGCCCAGTGCCCGGCTGTGCCTCCTGCAGAGGCCGAGAGCGTCCTGGGTGGGGGCGTGTGGGGAGAGGGGGGGAGTGGCTGAGAATTGGGGGGCAAACAGGGGACAGACAAACCAACCGACAGAAAAGCCTCCCTGCCTGGCCCCCAGCTGAGCGGAGAAACGTCCCCCTGGCGCCAGAGCACTGCAGGGCCCAGCCTAGTCGCTTTGTGCGCTCCAGCCCCACGGCGTGGGGAGGGGGCGACGGTGGAGGAGCCCCACGCACCCAGGCCTTAGGTTCCCCACCCGCCTTCTAAGCACTGAGCATTTTAGGCCTGGCTGGACTAGAGAAGGGGGCACCAGGGGAGTTGCCGCTGAAGGCGCGCGGCCGCGCACAAACACCCCTCTGCCGCCCACCTCCCTTGCGGAGCCTTGCAGCGGCACTCGCCTTCCTGCTGGCCGGGGAATGGCGCGGTTGTTTTCCTGATCTGGTGGAGGGCGGCTGCCCCGTTGTGTCCCTGCTGGGGCAGCCTCGCCCCACCTCCAGCTGCGATTGGGGCTTCTGTTTGTTTCTGTTCATACAGTTTGCTGCAGTTTTCCATCCCGGAGGACCTGCGTGAAGGTGGTCCGACCAGAGATACGGGGATCGATTTTTAAGAGTAAGAGGTTTTGTTTTTAAAGCAGGGGTGAGGAACCTAATACCCCAGCTCACGTGAGTGTGGCCCTCGAGACTCAAGGTTCCCACACTAACGCTCTAGCTCCCCTCCAGATTGGTGATAGAAATGTAGCCGTGTTAGCCTGGGGTAGTTGAAGCAAAATGCAGGACAATGTAGCACTTTAAATACTAACAAGATGGTTTATTAGATGATGAGCTTTCGTGGGCCAGACCCACTTCCTCAGATCAAATAGTGGAAGAAAATAGTCACAACCATATATACCAAAGGATACAATTAAAAAAAAAAACCTGTTTTTTTTCCTTTAATTGTATCCTTTGGTATATATGGTTGTGACTATTTTCTTCCACTATTTGATCTGAGGAAGTGGGTCTGGCCCACGAAAGCTCATCATCTAATAAACCATCTTGTTAGTCTTTAAAGTGCTATATTGTCCTGCATTTTGCTTCAGCTACACCAGACTAACACGGCTACATTTCTATATATATTTCTCTGTGTGTTTCAAGGAGTTGACAAAGAACACTTGCCCTTGAAGGATAAGGGTTTGTAGAGACTGGGGGAAACACGATAATGGGAGAGAGACACCTTATTGCTATCCTTTGGAGGTTACCTTTTGTGACTGCCCACCGCGCGTGATCACCCCCTAGTAAAGAAATTCTAATCTGGATGAATTCCTGATTGGTCCTTCTGCCAAATTAGAGAGGGAATGTGTTTTGTATTGAGCCCCTACACTTGTAATTATATGATCATGCCTTTATAAACCTAACTTGCAAAATATTGCCCAACTGTGATAAGATTAGTAAGAGAATTGAGAGGAAGTTCTCTTCGCTGTTTTGATGTTTTTTCAGGTAACATGGGAAGTTGCTAATAGTTCTGTGGTACTCCTGATTTGCCTAGTTCTATAACATCAGTTTAAAAAATCTGTCCTCTGCATAGAATGTTGTATTTATTAGAAATTCTATGAATGAAGGTACTTTATTGTCTTTAACAAATAATTGTCCATTCCCTTGCCCATTCTATCTTTTTGAGATGTGTAAACAAGAATATCAAAGGACATTTAAAAGGCTTGATTATTCCTTATCAGGTTTCTGCTTCCTTGGAGATCCTACTTGCTGTGAAAATGTTAGGATAACTTAGGCCCTGATCCTACAAACATGAACCAAAGCAGGGACGCATTTGGGGCTAAGTTGTTAGCCATGACTTCAGAATGGTAGCAAGACCATGTAGTTGAGAGCCTTGGAGACACATTTCACTTCAAATCTAATCTCACTTTAATGCATGTAGAATTTGCACTTTGTTACCAAATCCCACAACTGACACTACTGTACTTCAATTTTTATCATCATCTGAGCCTAACTTGCTTGATATTTTAATCCTTGCCTTGGTTTCATATTTTGTATTTTAATTAGTTTTTAAAATATAGACATATGCCTAAATGTGTGCTTGCTTTTTGAAATTTTAGCTGTTAACTGTATTTGTGCATCATTAGAAATTGCACCTCTTTCACATTTTCATTTAACTTGGATAACAACCCATGTCTTAATGCCTAATTTTTGTTAGAATATATTCTGTTGCTTTATAAAGATAGCCCTGACTTTGCATCCATGCACAATTTGAGTGACCATTTATTTTTAGACAATCCTCTCCATCTGCTTTAGGTAAAAATTTACCTGATAGCTTAAAGAGGGAACATGAAACATTATTCTCTTCTTTTGTTACATTATTATTAGCTGAAAGTTCTGTTGTACTTTAATAAACATTGCTTGTGTGGTAATATTGCTATATAGTTTCAAGATTAAATATTTCCAAGTTTTTTTCCCCCAAAGCTTTCTCTTTACATGGATAAGTTTGAAGAATTCCAGACCACTATGGCAAAAAGCAATGAACTTTTTACAACCTTCAGACAAGAAATGGAAAAGGTACTTCTATATAATTGTTAGAATTTAATGAAAAATATTAGGGAAAAAATCTGGCTCCTTATTGGCCTTAAAATCCCTGAAAAGGATATTTAGGTGAATGCTATTTTAAAACAGCCGTAGCTGGAAAAATTATGGAATGGCACATTGGAATCAGAGGTATGTAACTAATTCTAGTGTAATTACTGAGAGAGAAAATCTCAGCATAATCGAGGAAGAACATCAGTAGTCCATTCTCCTGAAACACTTGCATGCCAAGTCCTGATTCCAAAAGCTAATATGAGAAGTAGAATATAACTTTTTAAAGTCATTTAATTACTCTTACTTCCTCAGGGACCCCTCCCACGAAAATCTTACAAACTGTTTTTGTTTGTGAATGGAGAATTTGATCCATGAAGCTTTGGGGAAGGGGCGGGGTATATCTTGTGTTGTCCTTAAATTCAGAAAAAGTTTTTGGGCATAAAAAGGTTAGAGACCACTGCTGTAAATGAATTTTATAAAATTACTTTGAAAGCTACAGTTTGAGCAGCCTACTAAAACATTTTAATATGCGGTTACCTCTGTTTTGATACTAGTCATAAAACTAGCTTTACTATATTTTTAGATGACGAAGAAGATTAAAAAACTGGAAAAAGAGACAATAGTGTGGCGTACAAAATGGGAAAACAACAATAAAGCTCTTCTGCAAATGGCTGAAGAGGTGAGTGTAATAATGATCTTCATAGTTAAAGGAACTGTGTAGTCACATTCAAGTGGGCCTTTATTCTGCATGGCTTTTCACTTGAAAATCTCTGTCTAGAAATGCTATGTAATTACCGAAACTATATAGCTACATTATTTTAAAAAACAAATGGTTTGTATTTGTTTTTGTGTCTGTTTCTGGTTTTGTTATTACTATCTTCATTTGATCTTCATATGTCTAGTCAGTTAAAAAAGCATAGCATAGGAATTGCCATCTCTAATCTATTGTTTATTGGGTGACATCTTTTGGCAAAATTGTACAAATTATTTGAGTCTATTAAATACTGGGACCGGTGCTAGATTGACAACCCAGAAGAATCCTTGGAGGTGTAAAACATACTTAGCTACAGCTAGGGGTCAGTGTGGTTCTGCCATGTCTGTTAATACTCTTTCACTTGTTACATTTCTGCCATGAAATCTGCTGTATATGCGTGTGTGCAGACTGCTTTAAAATCAGAAGTATATGATACTTTAATCTCCAAGCCTGTCAAACTAGTTCCGTTAGCTCCCTCCCTCTCCTCCCACTTACCCCCCCAAAAAAAGAACTTTATTGGGCTAAAGTCTGTTTATTTTTACTCTTACAGAAAACAGTTAGAGATAAAGAATACAAAGGCTTTCAAATAAAACTGGAGCGTTTGGAGAAGCTGTGCAGGGCTCTTCAGACAGAGAGAAATGAGCTGAATGAGAAGGTGGAAGTCCTTAAGGAACAGGTTTCTGTAAAAGAAGCAGATGCGGATTTAGCAGTGCAGGTGTTGCAGACATGCACACTCAATTCCCATGAGGAGTTGGGAACTTGCATGGATACAGAACTAGGAATCCAACCAGATGCTGAATCAGGTGCAGCAAATGAAGGAAATGGTTCTGAAAAGACTGTCTCTGCGAGTTCTGTTCCTGTTGACTAGAATGGAGTGTAAACACTGTATTGAGAGATATATTTTGTGTATAAATTTCTCTGTTGGTGGTAACTATTGGTTTTGTGGTGAAAATTTTCTTACTTTTTCTACCATATATGTATTTTCTTAGAACTACTGGACTTATGTGGTACAGGAAGCTGCATAGCGGCTTTGAATAGCGTAATCTATACATTTTCCACAACTGTGTTGCACATCTGCCTCATTTTTTAAATATATTTTCCATAAAGAATGCATGTGCATTTTTTCTCTCAAACTCAAATCTCACCATGTCAGTTAAGACTTGTAAACTGATTTAACATTTCATGAGAAAAAGTGACAGGAGTGTCACTTCAGTCAACAAAAGCAAAATGTTGTTTTCAAAACAATGAAGTAAGGTTTGGTATACTTATGTAATTACCAAACTCTTCAGTAAAGTCTACATCCCTTCATCTAAAGGCCAGTAGGAACTTCAACTATTTCCTTTGATTATATATGAAAATAAGGGTCCAGAATATGATCAAGAATATTTTACAGGGTTTTAGTATAATTGTGGTATGACAAAAACAGCTTTCAAATATTATACATACTTTAATTTGCAGCTGGTCAAACAGGGTGAACAACTTTCTTGCAAATTTCTCAGGGTTGTGCTCTAAAGTTAATTCACAGAAAGAGACTATATTTGCCCTCCCTGTGAATGTGTTAAATTAAACTTGCAAAGAGAGCATACAGAAATAAGTCTATGTAGTGAAGTTGACGGTAGTGGAATATACACAACTGCAGAAGTGTTGGTCATGTTATGTCCCATAAAATGAAACCTCAGCATTGCAGAGAATTTATAGTGATTTCTGATTAGAATCTGGATATTTGTAAACGGAGTTATTTTAGATTTGTTGCTACTGTGGGTGCTTACCACATGCAGTGCTTAAGACACCAGTCTTTAGTTTGGATGTTCCTTACTTAGCACTGTATGCAATATATTTAAGGATCTGTAAAGAAACTGTTAATATTTGATCATGTGGATTCAAATATATTCCCAGAATAAAGCATTCAATGTCTCTCTCTCAACCTGAAAAGATACTGATCAGCAGACCGAGTACCTTGGTACCTACTGCTTATCTGATAAAATTGGTAATTCGGAGGTTGCATATTCAACTAATATGTGATAAGTGAAAATGTTTTTACATTTAAAAAATTCAGTGGACTGTAGTTGTGAGCCTTACAGTGTTTCACTTTGGGTATCACATTTTTAAGGGAGCTATTCTCTGGGACAGGCTGGGACCAACATTTATTTTTCATAAGGTAGGGCATGGGCTAAGTAACCAACTACTGTTAACTTTAGCCCATCTATGTTCGCTTTCTAGTTTCAGTTGCTGTCACTTTTAAGAGACACAAATGTGTAGCTTTTTCTGGTACTTAATGATCTTTGCACTTAACTTCAGTGGGGGGGCTTTCTGAACCAACCACAACTTTCAATGAGCTTCCCTCCCTTGCCCCCTTTGTTCTTTTTGGCAGTTTAGTGGCTACATTACTTGAATGTTCAGGCTGCACTGAGCTCTTGATCCCTTTCCTGATTAAATGATGTACATTAAAATAATGTAGATGTCTTATAAAGAGAATAAGGTTGTATAAAGCCTGAAATGTGTTTTTTTTTTTTTTTTTGTTTTTTTTTTTTTTGCTCATACCACTGAACAAAACTGTATCAGACTGACATTTCTTAAATTGTGTAGCAAATGCGTGACAAATTGGGAACTGGCCAGTTTTTTCTCTTCAGATTGTACAGTCTGTTTTGTATTCATGGTCCATGCATGGTGAAGTAATGAGAAGGAAGAGGTGAGTAGTCAGGGAGGTTGGATTCAGCTTTGAAACACGAATCACGTTAACCACATGGCAACAAAAATACTGGAAAGAAGCATCCTTCCAAAGTTGAATCATCATCATTTGTCTAACTTTGTGTGTTGTCATAGAATCAAAAAAAACTGTAACAAGTTTTTAACTTTCTGTGAAAACTGGTCCTCCACTAATTGAGTGAGAAATCATTTTCCTGAGGGCAAGTGAAGATCTTAATATATCAATTACAGCACAACATACCCTTAACAAAAGGTACAGATTTTGCAAGTAAAGTGGAAAGTGCAGTTTTCTATTTTTAAAACTTATTATTTGGTCACCAGTATCGATAACCACATTTTTTGTGTAATGCTTATTTTCTATGTACTCGAGTGAACTTTGGACTCTGCTGCAAGGTCTGTAAAGATATGTGAGATGAATGGAAGATCAGTACAGATATGTAGTTACTGCTGCCTTACATTTGTAAAAGAAGCAGAATGCCACCAGTGAAGAGTTTAAGGAATCTGGGATTTTCTTCCTATTTATGACCGTGAAAAGGTCACACCATATCACACCATCCTTCACTATATTGATGATAGGCTGTACTTGGCTTCCTGGAAACAGTTAATGTTATTCCATGCAGTGGTCAAACAGGTGTTGCTATACAAAATACAAAAGATAAGCCTAGCATTCAGTGATCTGCCATGCAGCAGGCTGTTGCACTGCCATTGTACAGCCAAATTGGCTCTAGTAGGGGTTTTTAATGGAAACTTATATTGTGAATCTTTCACTACCACAACTGTTTAATCTGGGTTGTAAATTTATGTAGCCTCTGAGGTGTACATCTAATTGTTAGTCAGGCCCATTATTTTTACCATGATTATGCTGCAAAAAAAGGCTGACCCATATACGTGTAGTAGTATACACAGCTACGTTAATGCTGTATTTCTCCAATCTGTTTTATCCTTCCTCTATTACACTTACACCTGGTTATGTTACAGTTTAATTCTCAGGTGTTGCAGAAAATCTACCTCTTCAGACTGTAGATGGAAATAACTGTGAAAAAAGTGATGCAGAAATATAGTTTGTGCTAAACACACTGCTTTATTTTTACAACCATGTCTGCTTTCATGAGAAAAAAATTGATAAATGAACAGGCAGTCTTGTTTTGCTTTTCAAAAACATTTTGTAGGGATTTTTCACTAATGTGAATCTGAAATTTTATCTACTCAATTCTGTATAGATTAAGTAAATATGTATGCTTAATATATCCGACTCTGTTTTTCTTTTATTCTTGGACTATATTGATCTTAACTTGGGTTATATGTCATTCTTACTACACTTGTTAGGAGCTTCAGGAGAGAATTTAAGGATGTTAGCTCAGTTTGAAATTACTAAAGGTATGTCTGTGCTATAGTGACTCAGGGTACAATACTGTAGCTGTGCTGCTGTAGAGTAAATACTTCCTACATTGGATATAAATAATCCATGTCTCTGAAGGGCAGTAGCTGCTTCTACAGTTAGAGATTAGATTGACCTATCTATGTCCAACAGGGTGATAAATTTTTCATGGCCCTGAGCAATGTACCTAGATAAACCTAAATTTTAGGTGGTGTAGACCAGCCCTAAATGTATTAACAGGAGCCCTTTAACTTTAATTTAAAACAGCCTCTTGAAGTTTGTGTTTTAAAGCAGAGAATTGCTGTCTCTGATGGAAATCTTAGTTGTGTTCAGCACTGATCATAAATAGGCTGGATTTCTAATAAATGAGAGGCTAATTGAATGCTTTCTAGGACATCCAGTAATTGGAATGTGAAGTGGACCATTCAGGGGGTTTTGAATCCCTTTGTTACAAACATCCATTACTTAAGTAAACTTCAAAATTAATAGCAATAGTCATGTGCTACTTATAAGAACGGCCATACTGGGTCAGACCAAAGGTCCATCTAGCCCAGCATTCTGTTTTCTCATAGTGGCCAATGCCAGATGCCCTAGAGCAGTGGTCCCCAACACGGTGCCATTTGTATGCGCCCGCCAAGTGCTCAGGGCTGGCCTGGCCCTGGGCATGTGGTGCATTCATTGGGGCCAGAGCCGGCCCGGGTGC